AAAAAAAAAGACGGCGGCTGGGTAGGAGCCAGGAGGTGGGCTCAGGGCGAACCCAAGGTGGCAGCAGGCCAGTGGCTCTCTATTTGAATCTACACAGTGTGGCTCAGTGGGAAGGGGTAGAAATGGCATATGGGACTAGGTGGGAGAGAGAAACAAAAGGATGAAAGGGAAAAAAGAAAAACAGATAAAAAATAAAAAGATGCTGTGGCGGGAGCTAATGGGTGGGTGTGGGTGGGACTTGGGTGGCTGTGGACCAATGTTTCTCCAGTTTCAGTGGTGCTGTGCAGTCCAGCATGAAGGGGGGAAGTAGTGAAAATTTATGTTCTGTATACTTTACTGGTCTTAATGCAATGCTAGTAAGTTATATGAGAAGTCAAAATTCATTTTTTCAACATAGAATTTAATATCAACAGATATTTAAGTTCATTTTAACATGAGACAGGGCACATTTACATAACAAATGCACGCTAATATTATTGTTACTGAACTTTACTTGGTTTATAAAAACTTTCAAAACTCTTGTGTATTGTTTTTAAAATAACTTAATTATCTTTTACTTATGCTCCCACTATCCCAGCCAATGTGTATTTCATTTGTTTTCTCATTAATCAAATTAAAGTAGTGCTTATTAATTTTTACATGCCGTGTCAAAAGAACTGTAATTTCTTAAATATATTATACAACATTAACAATATAATATAGTTAATTTAGTATATATTAAATATATTAATATAACATTAATTTCATAGTTTTAATTTATGATAAAACATATTTCAGGATTAAAGAAAAGTATAATTTGATCTTTGACTATTAAATATACATAACACTTTTTAGGAAATTAGATAATGTTTATTAGATTACTTGCTATGAGATGATTTACCAATGATAATTTACCAATGATACATCTTCCATACTAGTTTATAATAGTGATAATAGCTGTTTTCCTTCTCACAGCTTATTTTAGTTACTAATAAAAAAAAAAAAATGCTGTGGAGTTGATTTCAACTCATAGCAACCCTATAGGACAGAGGAGAACTGCCTCTTAGGGTTTCCGAGGAGGAGCTGGTGGATTTGAACTGCCAATCTTTCTGTTAGCAGCAGAGGTCTTAACCACTGCACCACTAGGGCTAATTATATAATCATATAAACTATGCATATTTATATTCTTAGTTGAAACTATTTCAACAGTGGGTTGGTCATTAAAAATGTTAAACATGAGATATATATATATATATATATTTTACCCCTTTCTTTTTAAAACTTCCAAGCATGATGCCATGCTCCTTGGTAGGTATTAATAACGGTTGTTAAATAAATAAATGAATATGATTCTGCTCATAGAATTCTTGTCTTCTATAAAATGGATTTTTAAATATTTTTATCCCTGGTGAATCAGTATAATAATCCATGAATATCATATTTGGAATCAAACGTGTTTAGAAATAAGAACATATTTCAAACAGAATTTTAAAAGGAACTCTGTCAGATCAAATTTCAGGAAAACATGATTATTGTAATAGCTTAATTATGGTTTTGGTATGTATCGAAACAAATAAAATAAGGTTTAGAAATATTAATAACAATAAATTCTCTTGACACTACTACTCATTGCAGCTACCTCCCATTTCTTCTCTCTCTTTAAAGAAAAACTTCTTGAAAAGATCAAGAATTAATTTCTCTTGATGAAACAACAGAAATCTGATTTTATTGAACTGTTTAAAAAGAATATTTAAGATGCTGAGAACAATTAGTGCTTGGAGAATTAGGGTTAGGGCATTAGAATTTTAAGGTAGCCATTAGACATCAAGTTGAGAGGCTGAATTGGCAGTTGAATATAAACCAGAAACGCAAGTACAAATTTAGAGCCAGAGAAATTATTGGGGAATCATCAGCTTATAGATGGTGTAGATAGAAATTGCCTAGAAAAATGAGTGTAGAGAAGAGAGGAGCTTTTTCTATGTGTTTGGGATATTCCTGCATTTAAGATCCAGAAAATGAAGAGGAATTGGCAAAAGAGATTTAAATGAGTGAACAAGAGGTAGGAGAAGAACCAAGAAACCTATGTGGAGAAGACCACCTGAAGTTTATGAAGGGAATCACCAACCCTGTCAAATGCTGTTGAAATATAAATCAGATAAAGACTAATAAGAGACTATGGCAATGTGAAGGTCACTGGTGATGTTTACAAGAGCAGATTCAATGGAGTGGAAGGAATATATAAAGAATGAGAGGAGAGAAATTAAGGATAGCAAATACAGACTATTATTTCAAAGTAATTGACTAGAAAGGGAAACAGTATGGTAGCCATTGTTAGGTGCCATTGAGTCAGTTCCAACTCACAGTGACCCTATGTACAGTAGAACAAAACACTACCCTGTTCTTTGCCATCCTCATAATTGTTGTTATGCTTGAGCCCATTGTTGCAACCACCATGTTAATCCATCTCGTTGAAGGTCTTGCTCTTCTTCGCTGACCCTCTTCTTTACCAAGGATGATGTCCTTCTCCAGGGACTTGTCCCCCTGATAACATGTCCAAAGTATGTGAGACAAAGTCTAGCCGTCCTTGCTTCTAAGGAATATTCTGGCTGTACATCTTCCAAGGCAAATTTGTTCATTCTTTTGGCAGTCCATGGTATATTCAATATTCTTCGCCAACACCACAATTCCAAGGCATCAATTTTTCTTTAGTCTTCCTTATTCATTGTCCACCTTTCGAACGTATATAAGGAGATTGAAGACAGCATGGCTCGGGTCAGGTGCACCTTAGTCCTTAAAGTGACATATTTGCTTTTTTAACACTTTAAAGAGGTGTTTTGCAGCCGATTTGCCCACTGCAGCACATCGTTTATTGACTGCTGCTTCCATGGGTGTTGATTGTGGATCAAAATAAAATGAAATCCTTGACAACTTCAATCTTTTCCTGTTTATCATGATGTTGCTTATTGATCCAGTTGTGTGTATGGTAGCTGGATGGGATGATGTTATTCGAAGTGAATGAAGTTTTTAATATGTTTGTTTACTTATGGGTGTAATCAAGTAGAGAGAAAAAAAATTGATAATACAGAAGTGATATCCTTGATTATGTGGTGAATGGGATCCAGGGTATAATGTGTGGTGTTACCACTTCAGTATCCACAGTCATCTATTATTAAAACAAAACAAAACAGAAAGGGGATTGAAGAGTATTACTGGTTCACATCCAGGTAAACTGGTATATGTATATATATAGGTTTGAAAATGTAGAAGTTTATTTTGTGATGACTTAAAGGAGCAATTTGGCAAGGGAAAAAAAGGTTTAGAAGCGGCAGTGTGTACTTATGAGAACTCAAAAATTCCTGTAGGCCCTATGTTCTTGGACCATGGAAAACTGGACAAATGTTACTTAATTTTAAGAGGACAGCAAAAGTCACTTGATACCTGATGATAGAGGAAAAGTTCTGTAGAGTCATTAAGAATGTAGTAGCATTCCTTTTTCTTTTTTCTTTGCATTAAAATAAACTTTCCAGTTTCCACAGGTCATGTTGGAAGGGAGTGTAGTTGAGCAGTAATAATCAAAAAGAAAGGGTCACAAAAGACTCTTTGGTCATTCTGAAACAAACAGATCAAACAGAGGGGAAGCTTCTGTTTAGGGAGGCAGCAAGAATGACAGAGTGAAGGTCATTGTGCAAGTTAAGTGACTTACAGTGTCCATACCTACACAGAACTAGAGCAGGGCCATTGCTAATGGGTGCTGTTGGTTGCCATATTGAACTTTCAGAAATACCATTCTCGTATAGTCGCTGAGACTGGATTTTAGTTTGGCTTTCACTGTACATGAGTGTGGTAGACAATGGCAATGGTTTTAAGGTACATTCTCACTCCTCCACTAAAAATTCTGGCAGGAGAAAATGAGCAATTTAATAACTTGACTCTGCTGTGATCAGGGATGACCAAAAATCTCAGGGCTTGGCAAGCTCTGAGTTGAGTGGCAGAGCCAGGAAGCTGTGATGATCGACAGTCTCCAGGAAGGTAACTTCCCCTTGAACATGTCAGTTCCAAACACTGTGTGCACTCAGGAAATCTGCTTCACTTCTCTGAGCAGAGCTCTGTGGAGGAAAAGAATCATTTGATCCTGGCAGGCAGGCGCAGGCCATCTGTGGCACCATCCTATCTAAATAAGGAGCTAGACAGGGGTGCAATCACACTTACGGGCTTCTAGGATGAGCAGCTGTAGAAAAAGAAGAAATGTTTGAATGAGAAAATAACTCTTTATCTTTCTTGGGCACAGGCTCTTATCATATAATACCCAGGTGCACAGATTACGTTTATAGTAATATCTCAATCTTGACTTATAAATTCCAGGTCTGAACAAAATATCCTGTAGATTAGTGATACACATCAGTGAAAGCAGAATGAATTTAACTAATAAAGGAAGCACTATTACTTGAGAAAACAACACTGTTATTTGAGAATATTTGAACGTTAGTGTTACTTGAGAATTGATATGTAAGAAAATAACATAATATTATTGTTTAGCATATTGGACACTTCTGTCATTTTATTATGACACTTTATTATTATAAGAACAATTTGCAAAACTTGCAAGGTGATGTTTTTCCCTCAATGAAAGCTGTATGAATTGTATTTTATAGCTGAACTTTCGTATTTTCTTACACCTGAAACCCTAAGGATATTTTAGTTAAAACTGCAATCAGAAATCAAGGTTAGGTAAATATAGATTTTAAAAGCCTAACAAAGACTGACAAAATAATTTGGAAACAGCTTCTGTTTCCAGGTTTAATTCAAAATAGTTTCACTTCTGACAATTGGATCGAATACATGTGAAACATTATAAATACTTACTGTAAATGTATAAAAATTTGTCTTATATTAATATTTACTGTATGGTATTTAAAACTTTGTTTTTGATGGCATATTTGCTTAGCATTTCTGTTTTATATGCATAGGTAATGATTGATAGATTTTTTTTTTAAATCTATATTTTTTTTTCTCATTTGTAGTTTGGTTGCTACAAAGGAAACAGATAGTGCAAGATCTCGAAGTGCTCCAATGTCACCTTCTGACTTTCTTGATAAATTAATGGGGAGGACATCAGGATACGATGCAAGAATCAGACCCAATTTTAAAGGTAATTGTTTGGCTTAGTACCCAGACAAACTCAGCTTATATAGAGAATAATATCAAATCAGTTATTTGGAGGACAAATTTGGCCAATTCTTCCAAAATGTAGAGGGAAAGGACAAAGAAGTGAAAGGCACAAGGTGCATAGTGTTGGACACAGATGACAGAGGAAGAGATTGGATATTTTAGAAGAGAGTTGATTCAGAGAAATAACACAAAATGATGCCAGCATTACCAGCTTTATGCCTCTCTGAGTAGTTCTTGGGACGTTGACTCCCTTCTCCATGCAGTCCACACCTTAAAAGTCCATGCCGTTAAAGTAAATATGATTTTCCTCCCAGTCTCTTTGGTGTGATTAAATTTATTATCATGTTTATTCTGTGATATCATGTTAATGTGTCTTAAGAGAGAGTGAAAGAAAATTATTTTTATCTCCCCATCTTGAACTAGAGACTTTCATGTGTCTTTGGAAACTATAATCTAGTTTAACAGGTTGAATAGCAAAAAAGTATGTCCGTAAGAAGATAAACGTTATTTCACTAGAGTATTTTCCCATCTTTGTTGAAAATATACATACAGAACATACACCAATTTAATCATTTCTACATGTACAATGCAGTGACATTGGTTACATTGTTCCTGTTGTGCAACCGTTCTCATCCTCCTTTTCTGAATTGTTCCACCTCCGTTAACATAAACTCACTGCCACTCCCTGCACAGATGCCCTCCTCACCCTGATTGCTCTCTGGAACTCGGCTGAGGTTCATTTGCTGATGGAAACACCCTGTTCAGACTCTGACTTTTTATGCCAGGTCACCCCTCCCCAAGGATGTCATCCTTACCCTGCTCGGCTTCTGCCATCACATGTTGGGGTGTCCCCATGCATGAACACCCCCTCATCCCACTTGGACTCTGACTCCTCATGTCAAAGTGGCCCCATGTGACACACTCCTCACCCTTCTCTGGTTTTAACACCCCTCGCCACTGCTCCACTATGGGAACATCCTCCTCACCCTGACTCCAGCACCCGGTGCTATGTAGCCCTTCTCCACAGATGTCCTCCTCATCCTGCTCTGGTTTACCATACTCCCCGTACTCATTCCCACTATTTTACACTGCTCAGCTGAATCACTTTAAGACTGCATTTTCAGGAAAGAATGCAAAGGGAAGCATAAGAGGAAGAGGGAAGAATAAACAAGATCCTATTTTTTTGGTCATAATTTACAAACCTTTTAAAAATATCTAACAAATAATTTAAAAACTGTATTTAAAGTCATCAAATATGCTTTGTTTATTAAAACATAAAATAGCACTGCTCCTCATAACATGACTATACACACACACATACACATATGTGTGTGTATAAATTTTATCTAAAATAAAGACAAACATCTAGATTGAAATACTTTGAGATTTAATGCTTGAATTGCATTCTATGCCTATAAAAAATTGAGACTTTAATACAATATCACATTAAAAATTCCATTAGAGCCATTTTATTGAATACTTAGGTTATTGTTTGTTTTTTGCATAAGATGTGCCTGATGAATGGTTTTCCCCAATAAGGATAAGAATAATATTATTGCCAAGGCGTTGCATCGTACTTCGATATTTTTCCCTTCATTTCTTCATTTCTGAACTTAAAAACCATCTTCTATTTCTTTAAGGAACATCTAAAAGAAAAGATGCTGTGGAAAACATCTGCAACTACTGTCATTTGTTTTTTAGGCCAACGATGGCTCATGTAATGAACAATTTGAAAGAACAATTTGCCATATGGATGTTATAGCAGTCATTTGCTCTGTTGCTAAACATAGTAGTGTTTGGGGTAGATATAACAGCTTTTGCTTTGGCACAGAGAAGTAGCAGATTGGCCAAGGACTACTAAACAGGTGTTCTTTGTAATGGCAGTGAAAGATTTCCATTCTTCTCTGAGCTTCATTCTCTACAAAAGTTTAAAATTGTACATCAATAACTAAGAAAGAAAGACTACACCAAGATTGCTACCTTAACCTGACATGGAAATGTGAAGCGTAGAATACAATACTTTCCAAGCATTATGACGCTACACCCACTTAATTCTTCGTAAACCACCTCCACTGTCACTGTCGTCACTCAGATCTATTCTATCTTCCACTTGGATTACTACAATAAATGCCTATTTTCCCTGTCTCCAAGCTTTTGCCTCTCCTTTCAACTGTTCATATTGTCATGTTGGTTCACTTCTCTGCCACGATCAAGAATCAGTAATAACTCCCAAATGTTTGGTGTATGGATCCTACCATTTATCTTTCTTTCTGATGAAGAAGAGAATATGGACACAAATAAATGGTCACATGGGAACCAACTAGCATGTTTATATGCTCTAATATCTAGACATGGACCCCTGGTGGCATAGTGGTTAAGAGCTCGGCTGCTAACCAAAAGGTCAGCAGTTCAAATCCACCAGCCGCTCCTTGGAAACCCTTTGGGGCAGTTCTACTCTGTCTTATTGGGTCACTGTGAATCAGAATCCACTTGTCAGCAAAAGGTTTTTTTTTAAGTATCTCGACATTCAGTGTATCTGATAATAGGTGAATTAGAGAATATAGTTTAGACCTGAGACCTCTGGAGACCTTTTACTCCCACATAAATTTTAGACATTGAAATATTCTGCTATAAGAAAGAGTTTTCTGCATCTTTTCAGAGGCAGGTTGAACAGGGAGGGGTTGGACCCTGTTTCACATATTATGAAGCATCATAACAGAACTGTTAGTAAAAGCCTAAATTAGTCACTTCTCCTATGACCATCTCCCCTCTGTGGAGACCTGTGAGTGTTCCTCAACATGTTATTTTTCTTATTGAATCCATTGACCTTACTGCTCCAGCCTTTGGTCAAGTAGGGATGTCACTACCACATTTGAAGGAGGAAAAGGAAAATATCAGAGTCCTGCTTCTAACTTGACAAAATGGCTCTCTCCCCCAGTACCTTGGGTCCTTTCAGAACCTTTTTGGAGTCATTAGGATGTGCCACAGAGTGCCTGCCTAAGGGACACTGAAAAACATCAGGAAAGACATTACCAACATCAGGGCCTGATGCCTATGCTGAACTTTTACCTCTATTCCAGTTCTCAACAGTATTGTCCATAATTATGTGGATTATTGTTATTGTTGTTAGGTGCTGTCGAGTCACTTCCGACTCATAGTAAACCTATGCATAACAGAACGAAACGCTGCTTCGTCCTGCGCCAACCTCACAATCATTGTTATGCTTGAGCCCTTTGGTGCAGCCACCGTGTCAAGCCATCTCATAGAGGGTCTTCCTCTTTTTCGTTGATGCTCTACTTTACCAAGCATGATGCCCTTCTCCAGGGACTGGTCTCGCCTGATAACATGCCCAAAATACGTAAAACAAAGTGTCACCATCCTCACTTCCAAGGAGCACTCTGTATTTCTTCCAAGGCAGACTTGTTCATTCCTCTGGCAGTCCATGGTATATTCAGTATTCTTCATCAACATCATAATTCAAAGACATCAATCCTTCTTTTGTCTTCCTTATCCATTACCCAGCATTTGCATACCTATGAGGTGATTGAAAATATCATGGCTTGGATCAGGCCCACCTAAGTCCTCAAAGTGACATCTTTGCTTTTCAACATTTTAAAGACGCCTTTTGCAGCAGATTTGCCCAATGCAATGTGTTGTTTGAGTTCCTGACTGCTGCTTCCATGGGCATCGATTGTGGATCCAAGTAAAATGAAATCCTTGACAACGTCAATCTTTTCTCCATTTATCATGATGTTGCTCATTGGTCCAGTTGTGAGTATTTTTGTCTAAAAAATATGGATATTATACCTATGATTAATTCTTTAACTTAAGATTAAATTAAAATTAAAGAATTAGGACAAAAAAATACCATAGAAAGTTATGTGCCCTTTATTCAATGCCCAGGGAGAAGTTAAAGTCCAAATAATAAAGACCTTCCCCTTGCTAAATTCAAGTAAGAAAACAATCATCTCCCCATTGTTGTATTTATTCCAGTTTCGGCCAAAGCGATCACAATCAGTGGACACCTGCAATCCTTTAGTAGCAACTTCATTCTGGTCCATGTTCCCACACATGGATGTATCTCCATCAGTATTTTATTTGAAGGTGAATCAACTGAATACGAATTCTCTTGTGTTTCGCCTTTTCCAAAGGGTGGGAGTCAATAGAACTAAGCAGAATCTACCTCCAAACAAATGACATCCCTCAGATCCATATTGCTGTTGCCAGTGAAAGAAAACAGAGTTTTAGTGTTATCCAAAAAGAGTTTCAAAAAAAACAGGAAAACTAACCCAGGAAATATGAATGATTAGTTTTAGATTTCCAGGATGCCAGTCAGTCTGTGTATATTTTTAGATGTCATCGTCTTAGGCTTACATTCAGTTAAAAAAATTATATTCAGAGAGATAATTGTGACTTCATACACCCCTTAAAACAGAGATTAAAAAATCATGGAGTAAGATATTCCTGCTTTCTCCTTTCTTATATAGTGGCATACAAGACACCTCTATCATCTTACAAATTTTAGAAATGTGTAAATATTTAGAAATAACCAATGAAGATAAAAATTACCATTTGGTAATCACATAAGTATAACACCTTCAGGATTCAAGACTTATCTGAGGTTTTTTTATTCTCAAATATCTACCTGGTGTATTTAAACCAGTTTTATTTCTCTGTATGTTTGAATTTTATGTTTCAGACATTTTGATGCTCAACAAATTTTGAGTTCTTTTCAGCTCCATAGCCTCTTCTCAGTTTTAATAGCCCTGTTCATCAAATTTATAATAGGTGACTTAAAGTTAATAACCTTGCATTTTTGATGCTCTCAATCACTGTCTCCTCTAGTTCTTTGTCTCTAAGAAAAACACAATTTATTTTTAGCCTTATGGCAAAGTGGCCACAAATATTTCCTAGGCTCAAATTCCTTAGGTCAGGGGTTTGCAAACATTACAGTACAAATCATCTGTGGAGACTTTAAAAATGCTGAAGCCTTGGTTATACATCATAACAACAAAATAAGAAGGTGGGAATCAGAGATCAACATTTTTTAATGATACTTGGATAATTTCAATGTGCAACATAGAATTCATAGGCTTATGAATCCTAGAGTTTGTTTGTAAATATTTTATTCTCTACTTAATCCAGCAAAATAAATGACCAATTCAGAAAACGAGTAAAAATAACAAAGTGGTCAAGTAAATGGATATCGAAGTCTCAAATGCTGTTTTAAAATTTCTCAACTAATAAAATGCTTAAAAAAACTATAATAATTTTTCATAAATGTCTTGTGAGACAGTCCTATTATACAGTGCTAGTGAGAATATGAATAAATGTCTTGTGAGACAGTCCTATTATACAGTGCTAGTGAGAATATGAATAAGCATATAATTTCTTAAAAAATTTTGTTATGTCTATTGAGTATTTTTTTTAAAGTTCATATTTTTGGCCTAATAATTCTGCATTTATGTATCTGGGTGGTTTCCACATTTGAGCTGTTGTGAATAATTCTGTGATGAACATTGGTGTACAATAGTCATAAGGTAGAAACAACCTAAGTGAATGAATAAACAATGGAATATTATTCAGCCATAAAAAGGAATGAAATTCTAATGCATGCTACAGCATGGATGAACCTTGAAAACATTATGCTGAATGAAAGAAGTCAGTCAAAAAGGACAGACACTGGATGATTCCACTTATATGAGGTATCTAGAATAGGCAATTCATAGAGACAGAAAGTAGAATAATGGTTTCCAGGAGCTAGAGGGAGGGGAAATGGATAGTTACTGCTGAATGGATGTAGATTTTCTGTTCGTGATGATGAAAACATTTTAGAAATAGATGGTGGTGATGATTGCACAATACTGTGAATATAATTTATGCCAATGAATATAATTTAAAAATGGTTAAAATGACAAATTTATGTTACATGTATTTTACCACAATATTATAAAAATGTGAAAAGTTCTTCAATAAATATGATTGAACACTTTATGATATATTAAACAAAACAAAAAAGCTCTGGTTTGGAGTAAGTCTAAAAGAAGATAAAATTAACAGAACACCTTATGTGCTTGAACATACTGAATCATAATTTAGACATTTCAGAACTTGGGACTAAATTAATGATACATATAGAGAAAGCCAAGTAAAATATATAAAGCAATTATCTACCTCAAGAGAATTTTCTGTACAAGAGGAAAAGTAATCATAGTATATTATATAGCTTAGCTGAGAGTAATACTTACATTGTCATAATAAAGTAAAAATTGAATACTGACTTAACAAAAGTGACAGTTGAACTATATTGGGGTGATGGGAAGACAGAAAAAGGGCTGTGTCAGTAGGGGTGGGATGATGTGTGAAAGAAGGCTAAATCCTCATTTTCTGTTGTGGGCAGTCAGAACATGTGACTAGAAGTAGAACATCTAGAAGTAGAATATAAACATAGTATTTAAGGAAATCAAGGTAAATACCAAAAGAATATGTTGAATGAGTTGAAATGATCAACTCTAGAGAGGTGGAAATGGGGGTATAGGGAAAGGGGCCGCCATTTTTGTAGCAAATCTTGTAAAATCAATTTACTCCTAAATTACGTGCAAGTGAAAAACCAAATAAACAAAATTAATTAGGCTTAAATATCAGATATTATATATAGCTTTATCTGACTAAGGTATAGTTTAACTCAGGTAGGGTTATTTTAACCTCTACCACAAATATTGTGATATTTTTTAAAGTTGCTATAACACTAATAACAAAGTTTGTGGTAGGATAATGAAATCTTTGAATATCATATGAAGAAGATTGGGGAACAGCATCATACAGTTGAGAAAAAAATGATAGAATCAGAACAATGTTTCAAATTCTGACTGGGTTACTCACTAGCACATTATCTATCCTCTCTGGACCTTAATTCTATAATCTATAGAATGGTTGAAAACACTCACTCTCAGGGTTACTATGAATAAATGATATCTAGGAATCAGGTAGCACAGTACCTGGCATCAAGAAGTGCTTAACAATTTGCTGATTCCTGCTCCTCTTGCCCACTAGAAGACATTCTCCATGTTTCTTCTTCAATATGGTGTGCATATGTTTTAGACATTTGATAAAAGAGCGAATAAATGGGTCTCTTAGAATAAAATCTTGGTTTTATGATGAGTGCTAAATCAGGCATTTACAGGGGCTTCCAGAATGGCAGAATGAGGATGTTTGTAAATTCACTCCTTCATAACAGCAACAAAAACATGTCAAAGTTAACTTTTCCAGAACTCTGAAAATTAATAAAAAGCTTGCAAAAATATGAAGAGTTCTCATTCAAGAAATCTGCTGAATCTCAGTAGAACCAGTGGGTAATCTAACTTAGCCTACCACAGCATCCCATTCACCAGCTACACAGTAACTTCAAAAACTGGAAGCCTTGAAACTATGGAAGCTGTGAAAAACATCAGTTAGCAGCAACCAAAGGGGGCATATCATGTTAGAACTCTTCAAAAAGTCCCATCCCAAGTATTTTCATTCTTTGGCCCATTTAGTAGCTCCCTGGAAAAGCCCCATTCAAAGAGGGCTACGGTTATTTGACTTAACTCAGTGGAAAAAGCCCTATCCCCAGGGCATTTGTTGAAAATAATCAGCTACAATTGTTTAATATTGCAGCTACCTAAGCCTGTGATATCAGTTGAGGTAAACAAAAGCATGACGAAAAAGTTAAGAAGAAAAACTGAGGAATGAGATGTCCATAGGCAACTTTGAAAATCTCTGATATATTCTTGTGGATCTAGAAAGCCACACATGTGTTTAGGGCTTTCTACATGCCCAGTAATGATCTGAGAAGGGCCTCAATCTTTCACCTTGACTAACCTTCAAGCCATGCACAAGCAGGAAGTTAAGACTAAGGCAGAGTTGTAAACTGCCTGGGTGTTGAAGCCATGGCCCAACACACAAACGAAAACCAATTGGCAAAAGGCAGAAGACTTATTAGTTCAAAGAATTTAAAGAAATCTATGACCAATCATTAGCTGACCACTAAGCTAACTGAATAGAGGCTTTAGTGGCTTCACATTACAGGGAATTTACAGTGTTAGGACAGGTAAGTCACTAAACATAAAGACAACTCAACCAACTAGAATGAACAAACCATGAGTTGGAAAGGGGGAAATGCTTTCCAGTTACTATATTATATTACCTAGAGTTCTAGTTTTCAAGTACTCAAAGTATCCAGTTATAAGACATGCAAAAAAATGAAAAAGTATGACCCATGAGTCAGAGGAAAAAAAAGTCAATAGAAACTATCCTTGAAGGGGCTCGGATGTTGGGCTTACTAAAACGACACTTACAGAGTCATTAGAGATATCTAGATCAAGGAAACTGAAGCAAGAGAGCTTAAATGTCTACATATAATGGTCAGCATCAGTGTGCTAAGGAGATTATGAACCTTACAACTCACAATCCAAATTGTTGTCACTCATTGAAATGATTTAGATTTTTAGCATCTATGTATGTACGTGTAAAGCAATGTTCTTTTTTTCTATTTTAAATCAGCAACCAATACATGAATATAATGAGAATATGGAATTATTTGAAAATATCTTAAGTAAGTGTCTAAACAGCCCTTATGTTCTAATCTCTTTTTCAGGCCCTCCAGTTAATGTTACATGCAACATATTCATAAACAGCTTTGGCTCCATCGCAGAGACAACCATGGTAGGCATGCTTACTTTGTAAAAACTTTTACAGTGGATTTTATAATCACATTAATAGCAACTTCTCTGTTAATATTATGTGATTTAAGAGCAAAATAAATATAATGAGATTTTAAAACATGAAATTGGTGATATAGTTAAATTGCAATCAACTGCAGGTAATAATTTTCATTTAAAGATGGCATGTTAGAGAATACAGTAGTCCCCCCTTATCCACAGTTTCGCTTTCTGAGGTTTCAGTTACGGGTCAACCTCAGTCCACAAATGTTAAATAAGTACGTAGCGTCGTGAAATCTCCTGCCGTCCCTCTCCATCTCTCTCATAACTTTTATTACACTATATTGTTATAACTGTTCTATTTTATTATTAGTTATTGTTGTTAATCTCTTACTGAGCCTAACTTATAAATTCAACTTTGTTATAGGTATGTATGAATAGGAGAAAACAAAGTATATGTAAGATTTGGTACCATCCACAGTTGCAGGCATTCACAGGGGTCGTGGAGCATATCCCCTGCAGATAAGGGGGAAATGCTGTAAATGTTAGTGAAAACAAGATTGGGTCTTCCCAATTCAACAATCTAATATTAAAGCTCAAATTAAAATGTAACCAAATTAAAGATTTCTTTTCAGTGCTCTTTAATAAACAGACATAAGTTTATCAGTAAATAATTTTATGTTTAATTATTCTGTATACTTACCAATTTATTTGCATTATTTTAGGTATTCTGTTTTATTACCTTTCCAAAAGAGCATAGTAATTGTTTAAACATCATAAATAAAGATTTTGTTAATTGTAGTATATACCTTCATTTAACATTACTATGTAAAGGGGAATATTTTATCTATCAAGATATTAAAGCAAAAAAATTAAAACTATCATGACAGAGCAAATTCATTTTGTTTTGAATTTTACAGTTTTTTCTAAAGATCACATTTATCTCTTTTCTACCCTATAGCTTTTATTGTGCACTTTAGCTAAAATAAAATGCAGAGATAGATACACGAACCACTAAATATCTGTAAAATTGCACAGCAGCTAACTTATTTTTTTAAAAATTGAAACTGTGTGGTGGTTGTTAAATTACCTAGAATTATAGTACATTCCTAATTTTGAAAGTATAACTTGCATTAATTTTCAAGGTTGATTTTAACTAAAATATACAAAATAATTGAAAATGTATTTGCTTCCAAACTATCAAATAAAAATTCTTCTCATTTTACCTTCCTCAGAAACACAATCACATGATAGTACACTTTAAAGGAAAAATAATATGCAAACTATTACCTATGTGTGTATATGTCTGTGAGTGTAGGTGATACATCTCAACCAAAAGAGATCTTATCCAGGCATCATTTGCTTAAAATGTTTCTGTCATGTATGCAATATTTATAGATATTTAGCAACATCTTAGTGGTTCTGTTCAAACTCAATATAACTACAAAAAAAGCATTGATGGAGAAGAACTGAACTCATTTTGGGACATTATATAGAACTACCTTAAATTCAATATATATGTTTACATGAATGTGTGTGTGTGTGTGTGTGTGTATAAATACAGAGAAAATGCATACGATTTGCTTGTGTAAGTACAATGTGGTTCTGGTGCTATTCTGTTCTGGAGCAGCTGCAATTTTAATTCAGACTTTGACATCTTCTGGATTCTGGTTTTGATTGATATCCCGTATATGGTCATGCCCAGTCCAAGTTATATTTAAAGATGAAGGAATCTGCTGGCTTTGTTCTACTTCCCAAAAAGCCAAATCCACTGCCATTGATTGATTCCGACTCTGTCTGTAGGACAGAGTAGAACTTCCCCATAGAGTTTCCAAGGAGCAGCTGGTGGATTCAAACTGGCAACCTTTTACTTAGCAGGCAAGCTCTTAACCACTGAGCCATCAGGGCTCCTCTTGTTCCCTCTTGTTCTACTTAGGCTTCCCAAATTTTATTTTTAGCTCTAACAATTTTCTCATTTTCATTGCTACTCTGGGAGTCCCTGGGTGGTGCAAATGGTTAGCGCTTGACTACTAGTGGAAAAGTTGGCAGTTCGAACTCACCCAGAGGCGCCTCGTAAAACAGGCCAGGCTATCTGCTTCCAAAAGGTTACAGCCCTGACAACCCCATGCAGCAGTTCTGCTCAAAATTGATTAGAAGGCAAGTAACAACCACAGTAGCTGCTATACACATTGTAAAATCACGAAAACCTCACAATGTTTCTTTATACTTCTCTGTTGCAAGATTTCCTCCACAGAATGCATTCCACAGCAATAGTTGGAAAAGCTTACAGTCTTACCCATCTTTGTGGGAGTGAATGGATTTGGAATGAAGACAGAACCTAGTGAGGTTTCGTTTTCATTAAAAGCCAAGAGATTGCCAGGTTTCTGGAGGTTTCTGCTTTTTCTGACATAATTCACCAGTCTGCCGTTGGAATGGTCACACAATTTACCAGAGCATGAATTCCTTACTTTTAATCATTTTACACAAAGTTTCTTTATAGAAAAATGTCATACAGAAAGCTTGCTGAATATTGCAAACCCACTTTAGTGACCCTCATTAAGTTTCTCCCTCTCCTACTCATACCAGCCTTTTCCATTCCTATATATTCCATCATAATGTTTTCCTTTAGAATTTTTTTTAGCACCTAAGTCTCTCCTCTTTGTGGCCACAAGCAGTTTCAATGAACACTAATCAAATGTCCCACAGGTTAAGTATTACAAAACTCTGTTCACCTCAGTATCCTCCCTTTTATTCCTCCAGATTCCTAAACGTGTGACGTGATTTCCATTCAAACAATCACATTCAGTATTTGTAAATTTTAATGGTTATCAGAAAGAACAGCTGCAATATGGTGTCCATCTATATAGAAATAGAGAAAATTAGAAATTATTATATTTCTACTATAAGAACCATAAAATATTTTGCAACAACTTGGTGAAGTGAATGTATTTTATTCATAGTATCCACTGTCACAATCTTAATACTAAACCTTATCCCATTCTTTTATTTGTTGTAATATTTGTCTAAACTATTTATTTTTATGAAAATATTAATATATTTTTAAAAACTTATTCACATCTAATACTGAATATATTTTCCTTTTGTTCTTACAACGCAATTAAGTGATTAAGAGCTTGCTGCCAACCAAAAGGTCGGCAGTTCACATCCACCATCCACTCCTTGTAAATCATATGGGACAGTTCTATTCTGAACTATAGGGTCACTATGAGTTGGAATCAACTGGATGGCAACAGGCAACTAAGAAAGACTATTAAAATTGAGACGATGGAATATCAACTTACTTATAACCATAAATAAATATTTTTGCATCTGAGAACTAATATTTAAAATAAAACAAAATAATTGTCTTCATGTGTCTATCTCTGCTAAACAAAGATCTTCATTAAGTCTTCAGTGTCTTTACTGACCAAACACACTGAGCTCCCTCTGCTGGTCTCGCCTCTAACCTAGCCTATCTGTCCCTGTTTTTAAATATAGTTCTAGTTCCATTTGAGATTATTTGATTCCTGAGGACATTTCTCTAGTAAATAGTCTACTTTGTAGGCTACATTTCAAAAATTACTTTAATTCAAATTTTTAACACATTTTGCATATTCTTCTTGTAGCAAATTAGTTTTCTTGGGTTTTGTTTTTTGGTTTTGTTTTTAACATATGTGTGCATTTTCTAACAGTATAAGCTCAAATTTCTTTTTAAATGCTGAACGCATCCTGTCCCAACATTTATTTATCTATTTAACTTAATTTAGTGCCAAACATATTCTCACTTGAGTATAGTTTTATTATTCTTGACATATAGTTGTCAAAAATTTTTAAGAATGTTATGGAAACTCCAATTCCCCTAGATCCCTCATACTCAAGTCATAGGTCACTATAATAATGAAATTCTCTAGGGACTTGATCAGCCGCCACTATTCCAAGTTCTCACTCTTCTTAAGCAGACCATAATTTGACAAATGTTCTATACCACAACTCATTATATATATATATATAATAAATTAAAAACTGGTTTACCATCCATTAGTGTCATCCCCTTGCCTGGGTAGCAGTGTGGCCTTGGTGAGAAGGACACATTCGTCCTGCCGTTTAAACCTGTGGTGACAAAGGAGATTATGATTGCTCCTATGAGGGGAAGCTTCAGATTGTCACATTAAGTGACTCTTTTAATCAAGGCCCCATAATTTTCTGCTTTGATTTTTTTTTTTTGATACCATGTGTTCATTAATGGAAGCATGCTGACTCATGAAATGTGTTTTAATTTTTGGTTGGTGTGTGTCGTATTCCCTCAGGTGTCTGTCAGTTTGTTGTACTGTGAGGGCTTGCATGTTGCTTTGATGCTGGAAGCTATGCTACCAGTATTCAAACACCAGCAGGGCCACCCATGGTGGACAGGTTTCAGCGGAGCTTCTAGACTAAGACACAGTAGGAATAAGGACCCGGCGTTCTATTTCTGAACAGAATTAGCCAGTGAAAAACTTACGAATAGCAGCAGACCATTGTCTGATATAGTGCTGTAAGATGAGCCTTTCAGGTTGGAAGGCACTCAAAAGATGACTGGGGACGAGATGCCTCCTCAAAGTAGAGTAGACCTTAATGACGTGGATTTAGTCAAGTTTTCAGAACCTTCATTTGCTGATGTGGCATGACTCAAAATGAGAAGAAACAGCTGCAAACATTCATTAATAATTGCAACATGGAATGTAGGAAGTATGAATCTAGGAAAATTGGAAATCATCAAAAATGAAATGGAACGGGTAAACATCGATATCCTAGGCATTAGTGAGCTGAAATGTACTGGTATAGACCATTTTCAATCAGGCAATCATATGGTTTACTATGCCAGGAATGACAACTTGAAGAGGAATGGTGTTGCATTTATCATCAAAAAGAACATTACAAGATCTATCCTGAAGTACAACGCTGTCAGTGATAGGATAATATCCATGTACCTACAAGGAAGACCAGTTAATATGACTATTATTTAAAATTATGCACCAACCACT